GGGTTCAGATCTCAATCCCGACTTCCATTTAACCTTCGTCGACAAAACATAAAACCCGAAAAAGAGAAAGAAAGTATTAATGAAAATATAAAAAAGCAGCAAGAAAAAGAAACATATTAACTGGTACTTATTTATACCAGTTCCAAGCCACACGGGGTTCAAATCTCAATCCTGACTTCATTTAACCTTCGTTGACGAAACATAAAACCCGAAAAAGAAAAAGAAGGTATTAATGAAAATACGAAAAGCAGCAAGAAAAAAGAACATATTAACTGGTACTTATTTATACTAGTTCCAAGCCACACGAGGTTCAGATTTTAATCCCGACTTCAATTTAACCTTCGTCGACGAAACATAAAACCCAAAAAAGAGAAAGAAGGTATTAATGAACACACAAAAAAGCAGCAAGAAAAAGGAACGTATTAACTGGTACTTATTTATACCAGTTCCAAGCTACACGAGGTTCAGATCTCAATCCCGACTTCATTTAACCTTCGTTGACAAAACATAAAACCCAAAAAAGAGAAAGAAGGTATTAATGAAAATATGAAAAAGCAGCAAGAAAAAGGAACATATTAACTAGTACTTATTTATACCAGTTCCAAGCCACACGAGGTTCAGATCTTAATCCCGACTTCATTTAACCTTCGCTGACGAAACATAAAACCCAAAAAAGAGAAAGAAGGTATTAATGAAAATACGAAAAAACAGCAAAAAAAAGGAACATATTAACTGGTACTTATTTATACCAGTTCCAAGCCACACGAGGTTCAGATCTCAATCCCGACTTCCATTTAACCTTCATCGACGAAACATAAAACCTACAAAAGAGAAAGAAGGTATTAATGAACATACGAAAAAGCAGCAAGAAAAAGGAACATATTAACTAGTACTTATTTATACCAGTTCCAAGCCACACAAGGTTCAGATCTCAATCCCAACTTCATTTAACTTTCGTTGATGAAACATAAAACCCGAAAAAGAGAAAGAAGGTATTAATGAAAATACGAAAAAGCAGCATGAAAAAGGAACATATTAACTAGTAAATCAGCTTAATTTGGACTACAAATAACCAGAGCTTATATATTATCTTATTTTGGGTCACGTGGCACATAATTACGTTAATTCGATTTGATCAACGTAAATGTCAAACAATGGTAATATAACAAAATTCAATCAAAGTTTAATTTATTTCTTTATAAGGGTTTTGATTACTAATCGATACTTTCTCTTTTTATTCTTACTCAAAAAATACGTGAAATCATGGGGACAGGAAAATGCGACAAACAATTTGTATTATGAAATTTAGAGTCAAGTGAAGTAACTGAAGTTAAGAATTCAAAGTATATATTTGGACCAGAACTTGAGCATGTATTTAGAGAGGGTATGCACTTATAGAGGGCACCTCCTGCATCTATCGATCTTCATTTTATATGACAGTACAGTAGGGTGTTCGATACACTATGTATTGTATATATAGTCTAATAGTGGAATTTTTGTGTAATAATTATTGTTATTAAAGAGCTAAATTTTGACAATTTATTCATTTTTTTTGCTCTTTTTGTACATATAAAAAGCAATTAAGTAAGATTTTTGATTAAAATAATAAAAGTATGAACTCAGAAAAAAAGAGATTTCAGCTTTCAAGTTTATCATTTATCAGATTCAGCTTGTGAAAAATCCGAAGTCTCATTTTCTCTTGGCAGCTCTAATTTATAGTTCATCAGTCGGAAATAACAAAACTTTTTAAAAATTTTTGTTTAATAAATATCATACTGAAATTATAACATAATTCAGGTTTAGAAATTTTGAATCTAAAAACTAAGCTCTCATAAAAGGTTTATTATCACATTTTAAAGCATCATTTAAATTAACAAAAAAACAAATTGAGTAATACCTTTAGACTTAATTTTTGCAAGAAACGCTTTTTTTTTTAAAAAAAAAAAAGAATTTTTTTTTTTAAAAAAAAAAAGAAAAGCAAACTGGTCATTGAGCTCCTGTTCCAATCGTTCCTTTGTTTCACAGAGAATGTTATCGAAAAGAGATTTGGTCTTATCATAAATTCTCAAAACATTCTCTTCTTCTACTTCTGGCCCATGTTCGATACCCTCTGCACAATTTTCCTTAAGATAATAGTTAGGAATAATTTTTTGATAAGGTCATCCTTGTTGAGCTTGGCATTTGACAACAGTTCAAAATTAAAACCAGACTGTAGAACAGCCTTATAAACATGCTGACCTTTCATATTATTGTGCAGGAGAATTTTCTCAGCAAGATTACCTTGGCGACCTTTCATTCCATAAGAACGAACTAACCGTAATAATAATAATAAAAAAAAAACATATGAATATAAATATCTTTTTAAACTATCTTCTTTTGAGCTCACTTATTAAAAACTCTTAATTTAGTATATAAGCTATATACTATAAGAATATTATGCAAAGTAAAACGTACATCACGATTATAGATTTAGAAAAAGGCCTTTGCCAAAATGACTGATTTCCTCAGTAAGTTTAATATCTTATTAAAACGAGAAAAAGTAATTTTAAAAAAAACTAACCTTGCTCAAGAGCTATAGTTGAGCCAGCAGATTTGATATTGTGAGCTATGCCTATGTAACATATATCAGATCTTGATATGAGACTGATTTTGGACCCGATATATTTAATACTGTTCATCGTTTTGTAATGAGAATGTTAAAATTGAAATTAATTCTGTATATTTTATTAGAACCTGAATTTACTGGCAAATATAGAACTACTATAAATAACCTGATACAAGACCCGGGTCTCTTATATTTCGCCAAAAAAAATTAATTAGTAAAAAAAAAATCTGATATATGGGGGATCTTGTATCCGGCCATTTTATAGGTGATATACAATACGCTGGGGTGTCAGATATTGGTGTAATTACAAACATAATGCAAGCCATAGTAAATTCCAATACTAATGATTTTTTATAGATCAACGATAGCAATAGTAAATTCAAGCTGCAATAGCTCCTGAACCAAAAATCCCACACAAATAAAATTACTTTTTCAGGTTCATTTTAACATGCTCTTTAAAGTAACAACATTTTTTGTTTTATTTGTATATGTTAAGATAAAAATCAATCATTAAAATCGAATATTTTGTAAGACAATAAAAGAGCATTGTTACTTTAAAGGGCACGTCAAAACGAACCTGACAAATATAATTTATTTATGGGTTCAAGAGTTAATGCAGTTTGAATTTTATATATTTTACTATTACTATCATTGATCTATAAAAATCTTTATATTATTTACTATGTGTCTTGCATTATGTTTGTAACTATACCGATATTTGACACCCCAACAATACACCATATTAAAGTCTTGATTTTACACATTGTTATAACATCTAGACTACAGGAGTGCGGTCATTTTTTTCACCCCAATATTTAAAGTCACGAGGATGACTAAAAAAAAGGTACTAAAGTTAGAAATTGGATCTGCAATTTTTTTTTTTTACTAAATATAATAATAAATTAACAATACAGTAATGTACAATAAATTTTAGCCAAATATATACTTGACCTCTACAAATACATCTTTTCTTATTATTCTTCAAATACAAGTAATATATTCTTTACAATGTTTATTTATTGTCGCGGCTGAAGCAGAAAATTTTAATTATTTATTTTAATATGAAATTTTCAAAAATTTTTGGGCCTTTTGTTAGGGGTTTTTTTAAGGGTTAGGTTAGGGTTTAGAGGTAGTTTTAATAATAAAAGAGTATAAGTGGATTTTGTAGAGTTTATATTTTTAAATCAAGGT